ACTAACCTCAAAGAATTCTTAATGCCCCGGACTTCGGGAGGGGGGGGGCAAAAAGAAACTTGTTTTTACTGTAGAATCACAAGATCCAAAAATTATTGTGAACAGTAATTCAGACATTAAAAAGAATCCAACAACAATAAATATGGACAGCTTTGGTTACAGATATGGCTATGACAGGCATGATGCACCAACTGAGCAACACCTTGTTGGACAACTTTCTTGAGTCCTACTACAAAAAATACTACCAGTTTCTTCTCTCCAAAAAGTTGGTGAAGAGCATGATAGAGCATATTAGCAGCAATGCAAATGCCAACACCAACATTGACAGCCTCTACAACAACATTTAGTAGCCACCAGCAAATGGGCAAACTAGTACTAAACCAATGAGGAGGGGTCATTGTCATGATTGCTGTGTCCCAAAAAGTAATGGTGACATGTAGCAAAAAAACTACTATCGCAACCCCTTCGCATGCCCCAACATGACCCAATTTTTATGGTCCAAGTACATGATGAGCTTACATCGCATGAGCAACAAAGTACCCTTTTGGTTTATTCCCAGCATATTCCCGGCATAACGACACACAATTTATTTTCTTGTCTGCATGTCGCAACCCCCACCCTCTCTGAATCTACTCTTTGCTTGAATTAATATTTTTCCAGTAGAAAACCCAACCATAAGGGCTTCCACCAACTTACATTTGTTGTTGAGTTGCAACCTCCATTTCCCATTTTGAACCAAGTATTGTATATTTTTACTACAATTCATATTTAATTTGAAAAAAGGAAGCATGAATAATTAGAACTGTGTTTTAGAAAATACAAAATACTAAGCATGCATATTGTATCTATCTAAATTTTTTGCCAGCAGAATCAAACCTCTTCTGTTCTCAGACCTGTTGCCAAATGATTGCAGTTATTATCATCATTGGAGAGTGGCCTAGTAGTAGTCGCAATGCCTTGGAAATGCTTGAACTTTACCCACATATCATATTCATTGTGCAGCATCACAATTACAAAAGCCTCATCAGAAACGGTGATCATGTTGCTTATCTTGAGTTTGCCCTTGTGAATTTTGAAACCAGTCTGTCCCGGATTTAGGGAAGCCAACATTCAAGTTAATTTAGTAAAACCATGCAATGCATATTTCTTCGCCCCAAACTTTGCATGTTGTGCCGCAATATACTCAGTAGCTTCAGTAGAATGTTTTTCTCCAAGTATTGGACAAACTCTTTGTCTGTCTGAAACTCCTTGGTTCTGCTCCCTGATTTTTCCTGTACCACCTGCATGCATACTACACAGTAATTGCAATTCTCTTCTTCAATTGAAAATTTTGTGTTTCTGAATATATTCTGKCTGATGTACTAGTGTTATAGGTTGTTAGATATCTGTTGCTTGATATTCTTGGGAAGATTTATCTTGTGTGTCTTAGGAATTGACAACATGGCCAAACAACTTACCACTCTTCAAGGAACCCACCAGTAGCTTTTCATCTTTCTCTGCCTTCACTGCATCCTTTTCCCTTTTAGAGCCTGTTACAGAGCCTTCCTTTTCCTTTTTCAATCGCTCAATCATTCTTTTGTCATCAACCTCCTGGAGACTCACACCATCACACACAGCAGTACTTACACTGACAACTCCCATGCCCAACGCCTCACTACTTCTATTCCTGTCATTTGCATTATCGTTATCTGTAATTGG